ACCTATTGTATGTTATTGATTTGTGGTTATTACCATGAGGTTATATATATATAAAGTGGATAGGCATTTAAGTTCCAGCACATTCTAGAAGTGCTATATATCATCTCCCCCCACCCCATGTTTTATATTTTGATGCCATAGTTCAGATATTTTTGTTTTGTGTATCCCCTACCTACTTGCTTTAATTATAGTTGATTTTGTTATTTTTGTGTTCTTAACCTTTGCACTAGATTTTGTGATTTTTGTTTTTTTAACCTTAGCACTTCCAGTGTTGATTCACTGCCTTCACTTTATTGGCCATTGCCTGTGAGTTTTTTCTTTCACATATATTCTTATTGTTTATAGTCTTTTCTTTTCCACTTCCCAAAGACCTTCACCATTTCTTATAAGGCCAGTTTCATGGTGCTGAACTTCTTTAGTTTTTGCTTGTCTATGAAACTCTTCACCTCTCCCTCAATTCCAAGTGATGACCTGCTGGTGGAATATTCTAGGTGGTCTGTTTTGCTTTGTTTTCCCTTCAGTACTTTAAATACATCCTGCCATTGCCTTTTCCCTGCAAAGTTTCTGCTGAAAAATCAGTTGATAGCCTTGTGGAGTTCCCTATTTATGTGACTTGTTTTTTCTCTTGCTGCCTTTAGTATCACTTCTTGTCTTTATCTTTTGCCATTTTAATCATAAAATGACCTGGTGTGAATCTCTTTGGGTTCCTCTTGTTTGGGACTGTCTGTGTTTTCTGGACCTGGATGTCTCTTTCCTTCCTGAAGTTAGGGAAGTTTCAGCCATTTCTTCTCAAGTACACTTCCTGCCCCTTTCTCTTGCTTCTCCTTCCGGGAATCCTATATGCAAGTGACAGCATGCTGGATGTTGTCCCAGAAGTCCCTTAAACTATCCTCACTTTGAAATATCCTTTTTGCTGTTCTGGTAGGGAAATATCCACTATTCTTTTTTCCAGATGATTAATTCTAATATGATTCTCCTGTATCCCGAAGTTTGCTTTTGATTCCCTACAGTGTAGTTTTCATTTCAGTTATTGTATTCTTCAGGTATGATTAGTTCTTTCTTATATTTTCTATCTTTTTCTTGAAGTGCTCATTATGTTCCTCTGTTCTTCACCTGAGTTTGGTGACTGTATTTATGATCAAATTGGAACTCTTTCTTAGATGAATTACTAATCTTCATTTCATTAGAAATTATTTGAAGCTTCTGTCTTGTTTTTTCTTTATTTGAAACATATTTCTCTCTCCTAATTTGTTTGACTTTTCATATTTGTTTTTTATGGAGCAGCTACCTCTCTTGGTCTTGAAAGTGTGGCTTTGTGTAGCAGCAAGCCCTGTGCAGAGTGTGTGTGCCTGTGGCTTTTGCAGGCAGCTGGAACTGGAGTGGGTGTGGGCTCAGGTGTCCCTGGACCTGCAGCTTTGGGACAGCCCCAGTCATAGTTAGCTGGAGCTGGAGTGCGCCTGGGTTCAGGTGACCTAAGGTGTGTAGCTTGGGGCCACTGAAGCAGGGCAGGTAGTTGGACAGCTGGCTGGAGCTGAGTGGATGGGGGACAAAGTGGCTTCAGGTGAGCTCTGGTGGAACAGAGTTAGAACTGGAGTTGGCACAGGCTGAGGTGTTCCAGTGCACATGGGTATTGGGCAAACCTTGCACAATGGCTGGCTAGAGCAGATTTGGGCCAGGGACCTTGGGCATGCTGGGGTCATCCTGCAGGTTGGCTAGAGTGTTTCACTGAGCCCCCAGTCATCTGTCTAAGGGGAGTGGGAATGTAAACAATGGTTCTCTCTGGTGCCTCACATCCTAGAACATGCCAGCAGTTGCCCACACCTTTGTCAGATACTTTATGGTTAGTGAATGGATTTCCTTCTTGGATAGTCTTACTTCCCTTGAATTGCTATCTGTTTGCTGTGTCCCAGGGCAAACAGTACTACATTGGGCCCCTTGAGAAACCCCCTCCTTCTGCAAGTCCCCATGTCTAGTGTAGGGTTTCCATCTTTACTATGTGGTCCCTCTGTCATTTGTTGCAGGGAAGCTGTCCAGTCAGCACTTACTCCTCTTCAGGAGGAACTGCTCTGTATGGTGCTGCATATTTAGTGTGTCTGTGGGGAGAGGTGAGTTCGAGGTGTTCCTATGCTGCACCTTAGACCCACATCAGCCTCCAAACTATTCTTTAGCAGAGTGGTAACACATGGAGGTGTACCTTTTCATTCCAGTTGATATAAAAGTGTATCAAATTAATGGTCAAAGTCTGCCAGCACCCTACTACCCAAAATCAACGACTTGTTTCAATGTTTCTTCTGAATTTTTTACTAGTTATGACTATAGTCTTGAAGAATAAACTTATATTCTATTTTTAGTTTTTCATTATTAGCAACAGGATCAATTAATTCCCCATATAAGATGAAAAAAATTAAGATAGGCTGATAATTGAGAATGATCAGAATAGCTATTTATACAAGTGTGATTAATATACTAAGAAGTTCAATGGGACATGTGGACTATATGCAAGAGCAGATGGACGATATGAACAGAGAGATGAAACCTCTAAAAAAGTGGAAATGCTAGAAATAAAAACATTATGACTGAAGTGAAGAACACCTTTGAAGAGTTCATCAGTAGATTAGAAGCAGCCTTTGCAGGGTCAATGACCCTCAAGATTTGTTAATAGAAACTTGCCAACTGAAAAATAGAAAGAATGCAATACTGAAAAAAGCCAGAACAGAAAGTTCAAGAGCTTGGGATAATCACAAAAGGTGTGGCATACATGTAATGGGAATATCAGAGGAGGAAGAAAGAGAATAGGAAGAGGAGAAATATGTGAAATAAACCTGGGTAAGAATTTCCTGATTTATTGACAGGCACCAAACCACTGATCTAGAGAGCTTTGAGAACACCAAGAAGGATAAATGAAAAATAAACAAATAAATAAATATACCAATATTTTTCATTCATTTTTGGGACAGAGTATTGTTTTATATATTATAATGGCAGATGCATGATGTTTTACATTTGTCAAATCCACCAAACTGTGCAATACAAAGAGAGAATACTAATAGAAAGTATAAACTTCCATCTATAAAATGTATCCATATGGGTACATCCATTTAAATAGATGAGCCACATTTGTGGGAGATGTGAGTAATAGGAATCTGCATGGGAAATTGAGGATGTGGAGAGGGATTGTATAGAAACCCTTTGTACTTCCTCTGCAATTTTTCTTTAAATCTACAAGTGCTCAAAAATATAAAATCTATTAAAATGAATAGGCAAAGCAGTAACTGGATCAATATTTACAATACAAATAACTAACCAAAGACTCATTCTGAATATATAAGAACTTCTACAAATAAATGAAAAAAAGGTAACACAATAAAAATGGGAAAACTTAAACAGACACTTCAAAAAATAGAAGTTGCTAATAGGCTCATGAGAAGATGGTTAATCATTAGTCATTTAGGAAATGCAGACTAAACCACAAGCAGATACCACTCTGGTTCCATCTGAATGAGTGAGAGTCACGGACTGGCAATACATGTTTGCCGGGAGCTCCTGGGGCAGCTGGAACTTGTGTATGTTGGTGGTGAGAATGTGAAATAGCACAAGTGCTCTGGAAAAGAGTTGGCAATTTCTCAGAGTTTATGATACATCTTTGTATGACCCAATAATTTCCCTTTAGGCTATTTATCCAAGAAATAAGAATAGTTGTCCAGAAAAAGACTTGATTAAGTACGTTCACAGCAGCTGTGCTCACAATAGCCCAGCATGGAATGCTACCCGTGTGTCTGTAAATAGAAGAATAACCTGTGGTGCACACATGCAATGACACAGCACTCAGATGCACAAAGGGACGGACTACTGATCTATGCGTGCAACGACATGGGTAAATCCCACGATACTATTCTGAGCAAAAGAAGGAAGGAACAAAAAGTACAATTTTTCATCTTAACCATATGAAGTCAAAGGTCAGGCAAATGTACCCTTGGTGACAGCAGTAGGAACAAATGCTGTCTGTGGGGCAGGAGGAGTGACTGGGAGGGACATGAGGGAACCTTCTGAGGAGATGAAACTATATCTTGACTGGGGTCTGAGTCACGTGGGTGTGTTCACTGTTAAAGTTCATAGACCTCATGGTCTGTGTGATCACCCTTTCTTAATTACACCTCTATCAAAAATAGAAGATTTTAGAAGATGCTAAATTTAAACTTAATATATTTATTTAGAGAATATGTGACATAAAAATTACTGTAATCAGATTAACAAATGCTGGGAGCTCTTTGGAATAAAAAGCAAATCTGACATAGATCCTGTCCTCAGGGAACATGGAGTTGAATAATACCCCTTGCAAACTGGCCATGAAGGATTAGAGAGCACCCAGAGAGGGAGTTTGAGGGCAAAGGCAAAAGGCCAGATTGATAGAGAGCATGTAGGATTCTCATAGAGAGTATGCGAAAGGCAACACAGGTAGGTAATGTATCTCAAATCTTAAATATACCCTGATGCTGATTTACCTAGTTATAAAAGTTAACTTTATACTGCCAAATTTGAAAATGGTAAAATAATGAACTTTCAAAGCTGGTGACTCAAATCTTACAAATAGGGATTTAGCATAGACTTGACTTGAAAGTCATCATTTGCTCCATCACTAATTCATTTATTCCATCCACATTTATTATGCTGGGGAGCTAGTCTAAGGCCTGCCAAAAACAAGGAAGACCACTGCATGTGTTCTCAATGGAACTTTAATTTGTTTAATTTGTAGAGACAGATTGCAGGGGAGTGACCACAGAAACTTGTCAAAATGTAATGTTCTTGTAGTTTCCATCAAGTGCCCTGATGAAAGAAATTTAGACTTTCCTGCACTGCTCTCCTCTGGTGCTGAGGGGGGGATTCTACAGAAGAGGGTGCAGTCCTGCACTCAGAGTTGGCAAAGCCCCATGGGGACGGGGGGAGGGCCCTGGGGGAGGCTGTTCTTCAGCCTGTGCTCTCATGTTTGCATAAAGGGACTGTCTTAAACCTCAAGAGTGGGACCATTATGTTAACTGTTTTAATTCCAGGACCAGAGGAAAAACATGTTAAGAAAACCTTCCAAACTGATAGGGACAAAGTCATATCTCAAAGTGACATCAGCTGAACAAAACAAGACTCTGAATCAGGATACCAGACTGCTCCCTGACATCTCCAGGGGTTCCTGAGGAAGGCTTCGTCCATGTTCATCCACCTCAGGGGTGTCCTGCAGAGCCCTCTGGAGAACCAGCCTCAAGATCTGTCGCCGCTTCCACCATCGCTGCCTAAAGGAGCCAACAAAGAAGTAAATGATGGGGTTGGCACAGCTATTGACACAGGACAAAAGAACAGCAAACAGGTAAAAGCGAAAGGAGGCACGTTGATCTTCTTCAAACCAAATTATGAGGAACCAATGGATGCCGAAGGGCAGGCCACAGCAGAGGAAGACCAGCACTGTGAGCCCGACAGTCACATAGAGCCTGGTGGGCTGCACCCGCTGGGAGCCACACAGCAGTCTGGTCAGCAGAACCAGGCTGGACCCAGAAAGAAGCACAAATAACAACATTAGCCAGGACATGGTGATGAAATCCAACGCTGGACACCAAAAGTGATGTAAATCCCTATTCAGCAAGCCACAGTAGTTCCCTTCCAGGATGCTCAGCAGCAGGGACATGGTCCAGAGCAGTGCACATGTGACAGCTGACATTTGTCTGGGGCGGCGGCAACGGTACCAGATGGGCCATGTGATGGACAAGCAGCGCTCTGTGCTAATGGCGCTGAGAAAGCTCAGGCCTGCAATGTAGGCAAAGACTGACACAGTGACGAAAAATTCTGGGAAGGATATGGAGATGGGACAGAAGAGCTTGATGAGTGTCTCCAGGGCATGCAAAATAGAGCAAAAGAGTAAGGTGAAGTCAGCTGTTGCCAGGTTTAGGATGTAGATGGAGAAGACGTTCCTCCTCATGCGGAAACCCAGGAGCCAGAGCACAGTGGCGTTTCCTGCCAGGCCAACCAGGGCAGTGATGATGGTCAGTAAGTTGAGAATAATTCTCTCCATATACAAAGTTTGTGGATGGGGCTCTTCACTTCCAATTAATTCTATGAGTTCTGTGGTCCAGGTTATGATGGATGGATTCATGCTGGGAAACCCTCCACTGGTACCACTGGAACAGAAACAAGACTTGAGCACCTCGTACATGATCACTGAGTCTCGCGGCCACCCTGCTCCTGGGAACTACTGTCTGTGCTACAGAGGAGGGACATGAGCTTTGTAGTAGTGAATAAGTCACCAAAGATTTTACAGCCATGGAGCCCTGAAGGTGAATTCAAACCCAGTTCTCTCTGACTGTTAGAATCAGGGCTCTTTCTACTACAACACAGACCCTCTACTGAGTGGGCATATTCTATGGTCCAAATGCCTCCAGGCACAGCCCTAGGCCATGTTGTGTATGCAGGAGGCAGGAGGAGGAAAGCCTGTACAGGTTGTGTGGGATGACAAGAGGACTCTGATCTCAGCACTACTCCTGCCCTGGGACTGAGATTTCTGGTAAAGGGCTGGGAGTTGGAAGCCCTAGATGTGACCTCTGGGCTACCTCAGTGACTGAGATGTCCATCCCCCATAAAGGAGAGCATGGTTTAGGGTTATAAGTGGTACATAACCTCTTGGTATGAGGGGTGTGGGTGTGGCCAGGCCTCTTGTGCTAGAGGTGGCCGAGTGTGTCATCTTCATGAAGAAGACAGGAAGCTCTGCTGTTCAGTGGTGTGTCCAGCTATGTGCGCCACACAGGTTACATCACTCTGACAATGGGTTTCTTCTTAGAGCAGCAAAAATCGTAAACATAAAATACTTATCACTTTGTCCTCCCACCTTGTTAAGTGAAACCTACATTGCATTCTCAAGGCATTTATGGTGATAGTGTGAGATTATTCCAAAGAAGTGGTGCCCAATAGAGGTGCAAAGAATCAAACAAAGAAGCTGAGGAGATACAGTGAGAACCTGAGACAATCATCCTGAGAGAGAGAGAAAGAGAGAGAGAGAGAGAGAGAGAGAGAGAGAGTGTCCAGGGAAAACCAAGAGTTAGGAGATCAAGGGAAGAGATGGATTTGTTTTCTTTTACCATCAAATATCATTTCTATCTCCTCTACCCTCCTCTGCATCATGGTGGGACCAGCCTGTTTCCCTCACCACTGCGCTCCCTTTTCCTCTGGCTCCTGGCTGCTCTCAGGAAAGGGAGACATTGACAGGTGATTGGAGGGCAGGAGGAGGGTGACTGGGGTTGTGACTCCAGCTTCAGGCTGTCAGTTGCCCAAGGTGGTGTTATTCTGCTGAACCATAGTCCTTGTCTGGTGGCTTTTCTTATGGTCACAGTGACACCCGTAGCTACAGCCACAGCTGTCCCTGAGTTCTGCTAACTTGTCTTTCCCTTTAACCTTCAGGATGTGCAAGTACAACAGCTCCTAAGTATGATGTATATTGGGGGGCCTCCGCACCTTTTGTCGATTTCCCTTAGCCCTGCTCACACCTTCATACACAGTCCCTTCATCACACTCTTCTCAGTAACCTCATTATGTTGTGCCCTGTGTATTCTCCTGGGAAGGATACAAAAAAAGAAAAAAACTCCCAATCCTTTGAACAGTAAGCTAATCTATGAAACCTGAGGTTATTAAAACTATTTTGTTTTGAAAGTAACGTCAGTGAAGCAGAGGGGACTTTGTGGGCCCCGTGTGGATCTCCCATGATCTGTGCCACCAGCGCCCAAAGCTCCCCTGAGCGGGCTTCCTGTCTCTGGATTCTCGCTGCTGGATCCCATGGCTCCCTGCATCCCCACCCAAGGTGCAGCCATGAACCTGTGGACTCAGAGGAACTAAACAGGGCTGCAATTGAAAGAAGATAGTTCAGAGCTGACTCTTACCTTACTGCTATTTTGAAGTTGAGGGTGAGAGTAGACAAGGGAGAGCTTCCCAGGGAATGCCAAAAACCAGAGGATGCTCTTCCAGCCTCTGGATAGGAGATGCCTGCAGGAGCAGGAGTGAACCCTGAAGACCAGAAGAGGCTTATCAAGATGCTGGACAGCCCCTGTGATTTCCTGTACCAGGGGCACTGGCAGATGAGATTCTGGAGATGTGAGTCAAGGGCATCATGGGACGGTTCTCATTTGACCAGATTCCAATGACTTATCTCTTCCTCTCTGCATCTTACCCACTCTGGTCCCCCTCCCTGTGAGGGGTGGCTGTCCTGGAGCCAGCTGCTGTCTCCTGTGAGCCTGTGCAGGAAGCCCGCCCACCAGACATTTTATCCTCCATAGCTGAAGAAGAATTTGCTTGGCATTCAGACCCCTGCATGGCCTGACTCCTCTGACATTTTTCATTTAATCGAAGACATATTGTACACAGATTAGCTTATTTCAGAGGCCACCAAAGTGTATAAAATGAAATGTAAAGTTTTTCCTAAACTTGTTCACTAGAGCAACTGATGTGTTCAATTCCCATTTCTCATTCTTTTACAAGTTATTTTATAGCTTAGCATAATGAAACTACATTTCCAGTTTTGATTTATCAGTGTCAACAACTGTGTATATTACATTTCCTTATAGAAGTAAGGAATTTAGCACACCACATGCACACCACACACACTGTTCTCTCACTACTCATCATGTTTGTTAGGTAGAGTATTTTCAGATGATCTGGGGAGAACTAGGACTTTCAGCCTTAGTCTCAGTGACTTCCTTTCATGTGCCCATGCTGTAGCCAAATTGAGTTACATGGCATTTCCTTTAATAACTTAACTGTGAAGCATTGAAAACAATCAGAAATTCGTATTCACTCATTTCTGCCTTTACCCACCTCCTCTGTGTGCCTGTGTTGTGCCAGGCAGTATTGCAGACCGGGAAGATGCAGGGACAAATAACACACAGGACCGTGCCCCTATGTGAGCTGGGGGAGCTCTCCCTGGGACTGAATGTTGCTGGAGAAGAGTTTTGAGACTCAGTATTAAGGCCTCCACTCTCTAAACCCCTGGAAGAAGAGGAAGACCCAGCCAGTGCAGTCCTAAGAAGCAGCTAATGAGGAAGGGGGTAAGTGAGGGGAGCACAGTATCCTGAAACTGAACTGAGAAAATACTTTGAGAAGTTGGGAATGAGCGTATCCTCAGTCTGATCTGAGAGACTGAGTAAGAAGAAGATTAAGAATTAAACTTGGGATATGCAATATAGAGTCATTGCCGATGGTGACAGGCATGGATCCGTGGATGGTGGGGCTGGAGATGGAAAAAGTGGGTTTAGGATAGAATAGCAGGTGGTGGATTGTCCTCCTGGAAAACCCACACCATCAACTGACAGCCACCACAATGAAAACTGCTCAGGACGATGGTTGGGAACAAAATTCCTCCACAGAAATCAATAGCTTTCTTATATATTAAAAACTTTAGGACACATAGTAAAACAAAACCTCAACTAACTCTGGAGGAAACAGGATGCAATGAGAATTGAGCACCTCTAATAGATATTAGAAGCTATTCTAAAGCAACAGTGAAAACAATAATCAGATGTTAACATACAGAGAGGTAGAGAGAGCGATGGAGCTGGGTAGAAAGTCTCAGAAATCAAACTAAGTGTGTAGGGAATTCAATCTATCATGAAGGGCGTATTTTAGAATGGAAGGCCTGGAGATGAAGTGTTTAATAAGTGTTATGGGAATCTGGGAAGCCATTTGAGGAAAACATATCAAGCTTTATACCTTTCATCTTCCATTCTGTTAAATTTCAAATGGACCATGTATTTAAATATGAATAATAAAATCATATATAATTTAAAAATACTAAGAAGACATTTTAACCTTGGATTGGAGAAGGTTTTTCCTTTTAAAAATTTTAATAAAAATTTTTATTGTATTTTAGTGTAAGGGGAAGGGAGGGAGAAAGGAGAGGGGGAGAGAGAGAGAAAAAAATAGAGAAACATCAGTGTGAGAGAGAAACATCAATTGGTGGACTCCAGCCTTCTTCCAGTGCCCCAGTGGGGACAGAGCACAGAGCCTGCAACCCTGGCATGTGCCCTGACCAGGAACTGAACTGGCAACCTTTTGATTTGTAGAGTGGTATACAGCCATGGAGCCATGCCAGCCAGCCAAGGCAGGAGAAGGTCTTCCTAACCATGACACAAAACTCAGTAACTGTAAGTGAAAACATTGATTTAAAAAATTATGAAAAATTGAAAATAAGTTTTCTGTATGGGAAAGGGACCATTAACAAGTCAAAGAACAAACAGGAAATATAGTGATAATGCATATCTTGGACAAATTAATAATACAGTGTATAGTATATCAATAACTATCTCTATGTGTACACCTACAATCTTCTAGACATTCTTTAAAAGATCCCTAACAACAATAAGGAAATGATCAACTTGGTTCCTAGATAACCTGTTTCTTACACATGACAAAAAATGCTAAAACAGACACATGATGACAAAGGGTAATTGAAACTCCACTGAGATGTTTTCTCCCTTAGATTTTCATTTATCCCATAAGCCTAATCCCCTGTGTTTCGGGAGTGTGTGAAGAAAATGGCACTCTTCTGTGATCAGCCATCCCAAGCAAAACTTTGCCTGAGAGGAAAGCTGGTCATGTGAGACTTTTTCCACAGATCCACACTGGTAAAGATGCTGCCACATGCTGCAGGTATAGTTAGGAGGCATTAAAATCTTCATCTCACTGGAAACAGTGCTCTGATCTTCCCATTTTTAGATGATTTTATCCAAAAATTGGAGCAGAATAGGAAGTTTTTTGGTACCATCCAGAACCTCAGTGGGTTTCCAGTGCATGTTTTTTTCTCCTTGAATTTTCAGGAAGTTTTACGCTCTATGTCTATTTATTAGACATTGCCATAGATATTTAACACACATACTTCTAAAATCTAAGCATAATTAGTGTTGTTAACCTGTAAAGGAGTTCACTTCTCACACGCTTAAGCAGATTAGGAGAAGAACATGCCCTTTGTGAGCCGACGCTGCCCTGATCTTGCTTTTGTGAAGGAAAACGTGCCCCTTCCTTTCCGGTGGTCACGGTCTTGCACCTTCACACAAGGATCGACCAGTGTATTGTATTTCACCTCCTTTCCTCTCCTTCGCATTTGTTTGGAGCAATGAACAGACTGTATAG